CGCTCTATGCTCAAAATAGCTCAAACAAAATGAATAGCCATAAGTAAAAAGTGGCCTTATGTTTGGCTATAATAAGATTCAAATAAAGGCCTCCAAGAATTCCACCTGTTTCCAATTAGATACTAGAACTGCCTGAGTGTTTAAACTATGTTCACTTGCTACTTACATGAGACAATTCTTCCGGGTTTTTTGTACATTTTAAATATGTTAAAATAAGATTAAGGATCTGGCTTAAACAATCAGGGGTAGGAAATTTTCAGTTAAAGCCAAAATTCTATCCTTGAACTACCATAGACACATGGTGAGATAGACAAGATTCAAAGTTAGGTTGACATAGATGAGGGTTTTGTTTTGTTTTGTTGTTGAAACCAGACTTTTTACAAGGAAAGAATGGTGAGAATAAATTTATCATTTAAATAACAGAAAACAGATGAGAGACAGCAGGAGACAGAGACAGCAAGAGAATGAGTTTGTAAAATAGTCTTTTACCAGCCTTTATTAAGATAACTTTTAAATCAATTGCCAGTTATCAGGTAAGTAGCGACATCTGTGTTAATACTGATTTACTGGCTTCATTTAAAGTCCATCAGATAAGCTGAAGCTGTCTTCTAATAATACCTTTGAATTTGTATAGGCCAGATTCTTACTCTAGCCAATCCAGTAAGCACTTATTAAGTGCCTACTACATGTCAGGCACTGGAGATACAAAGACAAGCTGAACACTGAAGAGGAACTGCAGCTGTTTCCAAAGATCTCTCATATAATGAAAATTCTTCTTTTTAAGATCCACAAGGGCTTTCCCTCCCGAATCTGTTCTTCCCTCCCTTCCTGGCTGCTGTTTCTTGTGCTTTCTAAATGCAATCTGAAATGGATATAGATTTTTTTTTCTTTTACTTCAATCCTTGTATTTCCACTAAGCTTCTGAATGTCAGGACAGCCTCAGGAATAGTTTTGATTGTTAACTGCTACAGGCAGACCCGGAAGGGGATCAGAAGAGTGCACACACGCTACACACACACACACACACACACACACACACACACACACACACACACACACAAATTATTTCTGCATATCTCCTCCCACGTAAACAGAGCAGCGGCTTTGGTTTAATTTCGCAGGAACGGGGCAGGAGACTTTTTTTTTTTAAAAAAGGAGCCATTTAAAATCCTAAGGACATTAACTTGAGAAGAGTATTTTGATGGTAGCTGGCTCAGTAGATCATGAAAGGATACACAGCCTCAGGGGAGTAACAGACTGGCAGTTTATCCAAACCTTTCTCCCCTTCCATCTTTCTCATTTACTTCACTATCAACATCAGTCACAAAAGAGTAGGTCTATGGAGTTGTATTCTCAGTAGATCAGAAACTGTTGCATTACTAAATTCTTTTCATTAACTCGAAGCTATTTTAAAAAAAAGCCACACAGATACCGCCTCCCCAAAAAAGATGAATTCAATAAATAGCTATGCCTTTCTATATATCCCAAAGATTAAATGAGCTCCCCCCCACCCCGATAGAGAGAACCAAAAAAAATAAAATAAAATTAGAATAAAATAGATGCTATATGAGCCCAGCAGTTTGTCAACTTAAGTTCCTTCTCTGTTTCAAAAAAGATTCCGAATGGGAAACTTCTAAAAAAGACAGATATTAATAACTGTAATATTTTCTGCTTTAAAGGGCAGTCTACCCCAATGGTATTATCAGCTTCGGTAAGGGGGTGGGAGGCAAAAGAGAAGCAATACAAACCTCTTATTAGCCAAATGAATTTTGGTTTGAAAGAGAAAAATTCCTAGGTTGCGCTTCACAATCAGGCAGATATGTAACTACCGTTTATAAGAGCACTTTGCAATTTAACCAAATGTCTCCTCACAGAAACCCTATGAGGTAGCTAGTAAGCTGAAAGGTAGCCTGGAATTCCTTTAAGGATTTTCCCATGGATGGGAAACCCTGAACCTTGGGGTTAGCTGACAGTGCCCTTCTGCTCAGCCAAGAATGTCTGGAAGGAAACCTGGAGCTCAGAGAAAGGCCACTCTCCCACCCCACTAGCCTTCAAAACGAAAAAGGAAATGAGATAGGGTTAAATTTTCAATAATAATTCTCTTTCTCTTCCTGAACAACCCACTTTAGGGCCCCAAATAGACTTGGTCCAAAATGGACCATGGATAGAACAAGAGTAGTGACCCTGGCTCCAGGAGATGGAGGAGTTTCAGAAAACTCAGCTACCCAGACAGAACGCACTGGATCTTTTCAAATCAAACATGTTTCAATGGAGAGATTCACTTAGGGACTTACACGAGTGTCTCGTCCCTGACCTCTAGCAAGGCCCCAATCTCCAGCCCTACTTACTGGGTCAATTTGACTTGAGTATGGTTTTCACTGAAGGTTAAAAGTGAGGTCCCCCAAGTGAAATCCATTTTAAAGTACAGTCTCATCAGCTAAACTATTATTCACGACATTAAAGATGAAACCAAAATCAGCATAAACTGCAGAGGGCTCTCAAAAACTGAGGTCAGAGTAAATGAAGGGTCACACAAACATTGCCTTCCTCCACCCAATTAAAAGCTTTAGAACACACAAGTCCAATAACTGGTTTTTTTTTAAAAGAGATTTTTAAGACCCCATCACCTAGGAGAAGTCAATGAACCATAATTACAAAATAATTTCCAGCAGCAAGTTCAAAACCCAAATGTAGATTAGTTATGTATCTAAATAATCCCCCCCCATATATCCGAGAGCTCATTCAGATAAACTCTTCTCTTCCTGGGGGTCTTCTAATCATATTTCCAAACTCAAACCTCAATGTCACGGATTGCCTGCCAAAGCAGATTGGGGGGGCGGGGGGAGGAGGTACAGTAGGTCCACAGAGTTCAGAAATCTAATAATTAATAAAGTTTCTATAAATAAATAAAATTCCTAGGCAGCTGGGCCAAGATGCTTGGAAAAGAAATTTAATACAAATAAAGTCAGGCCAGGATGACCTCTGGGGTCTCTTCCAACTCTGATTATATGATTGATTCAGTTTTATAATCGATGAAGAAGAGAGATTAAAATTTATTTCCTAGACCCACTACCGGTTTCACAGAAGCTACAGAAATGAAATTGTGGTGGTGTTTTGGTTTTTTTTTAAGGAGCTGTTTTTTTGTTAAAAGTGGATGAAACAATCTATCCAAAGTGCCATTCGGCTGCGTTCATTACATCCAGGAATCTAATTTACACAACAGACATGTTGGGAGCTGTGCACTGGAGTCAATAGACCTGCTCCTCTAACTTTTCATCTTATCAGAAATACAAATATTTCACACACTCTTCTCCCCAGTTCAGTGGGAGCGTCGGAGGGGATTTCACTGGGACCATGTGCCTGTTTAATCATTCCCCGGCAAACGCTGGGGCAGAAAGCGAGCCGCTCAAAATTAAAGTTGTCAGACTCCATTTAAATATATATTTAATCTAATCCACTTTATTTTATACAACTCTGCATCTGGATTTCATTTGCCTTATTCCTGGAGGTATTCTGGGTCACTATTAAGAATTCTTTCAAGTTGGGGGAAGTTCAGCCCTAATCCAAGCCCTTCAAATCACAGCAGAACGGGAAGGGGAGCACCTGAGCGACCCCCGCCCGCAGACCCCCCGGGGGCCCCCCAAGGGCAGCCTTACTCTCCTCTCTACTCCCACCCCCCCCACCCCGAGACCTTTCGCAGAGAGCCCCCTCACCTTGAACGTGGCTCCGGCTATGCCCAACATCAAGGTGGCCGAGCCCGCGGCGCCCGCTCCCGGGGCCCCCAGCCCGGGACTCCTCCAGGTGGTGGGGCGGAGGAGGGGGCAGCACCGCCCAGACCGGAGCCGAGGGCTCTTCGGCCAAGAGGGGCGCTTAATCACTTAAAGGCGCAGGACACCAATTCCCCAGCCCGCCCCCCACCCCGGCAGGGACCTGGCACCTCCCGGGCTGTCTCCGTCCCCCACCGCAGACACATCCGCTGGGGAGGGGGCATCAGGGGCACAAGTGCGAGGGGGGACACGGTGGGGGGGAGGGAAGGACGGGAAGCCGGCAGCCCCCAGACTCCGGCCGGCCACTCCAGCCAGTGCCAGGGTCCGGGGGGGAGGCGGGGTAAGGCAGCGGCTCTCTCCGACCCCGACAGTCAAAAGAAGCCCCCAGGAGTCGCCCCCCGCCCCAGCTCGCCCCCCGGGGCCCGGGGCCCGGCGCCGCCTCCCTCCGGCAAAGTTGCCCGAGTCCCGGGCCGGGCGCCCCCACAAGTTTTCCCCGGCCCGGGGGGCACACAAAGGGCGCGCGGGGCCCGGGGGGCCGCGGTGACAGGCGGCAGACGGGGGGCGGGGGCGCCGGCGGTCACGGCCACGGCCACGGCCGCCCCGGCGGCCCCACAGCGCCCCCCGCCCGGCCCCGCGGCCGCCGCCGGCCCCTCACCAACTCCCCGCAAACTTTGCCGGGGAGGACGCGCGGCGGCGGGCCGGGGGCTCCGGGGCGGCTGGGGGCCGCGGGGGGCGCCGGGCCCGGGCGGGGGGCGCTTGGCTGCGGGCTCCGCGCCGGGCCGGCCGCCCCGAGCCTGGGGTCCCCCCGCCCCGCGCCCCCCGCCGCCCCGCGCCCCCCGGCCCGGCCCGCCCGCCCCCCGCCCCGCCCGCACCCCTCGCGGGGCCGGGTCCCGGCGGCCGGGGACCCCGGGGCAGCGGCGGCGGCGGCGGCGGCGGCGGCTCCCGGCGCCATCTTGGGCTGATCGATGAATTGAACAAAGAGGATCAATTTCCGAAGGGGCCGCGGGGCCGCCCCCGGCCCGGCCTCTGGCCCCGGCCCGCCCGGCCCCGCCGCCCTGGCCCGGCCCGGCCCGGCCGCCCCGCCGCCCGCCCGCCGCCCGCGGCTCCGGCGGCGGCCCCGAGGAGGCTCCGGCGGCGGCCCGGGCCGGGCGGGCGGCGGGTGGAGGGCCGGGCCGGGGCCCCGCGGGCGGCGGGCGGCGGCGGCGGCGGCGGCGGCGCGGGGGAAAGCCTGACCTGCAGCTGCGGTAAATCAAAGCGCTTCCAATATTGAAACATCGATCCCACATTGGCCGCCATCTTGAGACATATTGAGACGGAGTGAGCGGCTGATCGAGAGGGGGCTGGAGTTCAGGAGCCGCCAGGAGGCAGCGGCGGGCGGCTTCAAAACCCGGCCTGGAGCGAGCGGGCGGGCGGGCGAGCGCCGGAGCGGGCGGGCGGGCAGGCGGGCGGGCCCACGCCGACCCACTCAGCGAGCAGCCGGCCGGCCCACGCCCCGAGCGGCCCACGGACGCCGTCAGCGCCGAGCCGCAGCCGCCGCCGCCGCAGCCGCACACACGGCCGCCCCCCTGCCGCGCGGCCCGCCCGGGGTCAGGCTCAGGCTCGGGGTCAAGGTCAGGGTCACGGTCGGCCTCGCCTGCGCCTCCGCCTCTCTCGGAGCCGGGCGTCGAAAGCCGCGCCAGAGGGGAGGGCCGAGCAGGGGAGGGGAGGAGAGGGGAGGGGCGGGGGCGGCCGGCCGGCCCCCTCTGTCTGTCTGTTTGTCCGTCAGCCAGCTCGTCCTGCTGCTGCTGCGGCCCCCGCCTCGTGAGCCCCCCCCACCCCCGCTGAGACCGGCCCCTGCCCCCCCACCAGCCCGAGCCCCCGCGCGCACGCCCCCGCCCCTGGCGGGCACTGAGCCTGGGCACACACATACCCACGGGGCACACACACACACCCACGGGGCAGCCGGGGAAGCTGCCCACGGAGGGGGCAGAGGCCGGGCCGCCTGCCCCGGGGCTCCCGAGTCTCCATAACTGAAAAACACAAGTTTTAAACAATTCTCTGCCGCTCCCCCTCCCCGCCCCATTCTCTGGAGGAGCAGGGGTCTGTGCGCCAGCCTGGGAACCGGGCCGCCCTCCCTCCCGCCAATCGATCCACAAACATTCGCCACGGCCGCTGGGCTCCCTAACGAGAGCCGGGCCTGGCACGTCGGACCAAGCCGATGGACAGACTGACACACGGGTATCCACCCGAGCCGGCCAGCTTCCGCAGGCTTAGGAAGGAAATGACCGTTTGCTTCTCTCCCCCCCGCCCCCCCGGCCCCCGGCCCCCACCCCTAGTATTTTGTTTGGGAGAACAGAGTTGGTCGCAGTGATCGATTTCCTTTTAAGAAAGAAACAACAATGCATTTGTCCATTTCAGTGAAGTGCGGCGGGGACCCTACGCTCCGCGCTGCTCCCGGCTGTGTAGACAGCTGGCTGGAGAGCGGCCTTCGGTCCGGGAGGAGGATGAGGGGCGCCTGAGCAGCGTCTGCACCGCAAACTGGGCGAAACTGGCTCACCCCCAGAACCTTTTCGTTCGCCCTTCGATGCCCAGAAACTTCGAGATCCCCAATCACCCTATTCTTGTTCCAAAACTATCTCCCGTCCAGCTAAAAAGAGGGCTTTCCCATGAACCCGTAGGGATGCGTTGATTTCAACCAGCAGGACTCCAAGTTTACCGAAATGCTAACACTTAAGCGTTTTTAAAAAGAACACAGAAGAAACATCTTTTCATTTCTATTTTCCATGCAAAAATAGTCTGAGGACATTTCTGAGGAAGTTCAGCTTTAATTGATTGTGCACATGTGTAACTCTGGGGTTAAACTAGCGAGCTAACGTACATTACCATCTCCCGCATTTCGTTTGGTGTGAACTGATTTAAAGCAACCTTGAATTCCTTTATTTTGAAAAGTATAAGGAAAATCACCGTTGATGGGAGCCCAAGTGGAAAGGGGCTCCTTATTAAAACGTTAATTGTACCCTTCTCATGATCATTCGCCTTAAGTTAATGTTTGTTTTAAAAGGATGAATTGCAGAAAATGAAAGTCCCCGTATTCAGGGATTTTGAACGCGGCCACGTATTCTAAAAGGACCACCCCTAAGGTGGAGAGGATGCTTGGTCCTTCCAGCCCATTTAATCTGTGACTCGTCTGTGAGAGCTGACACCGAGGAAGTCAGGGTGGCTGGGGGTTGCCGGGACGATAGAGACAGCGTGGAAACGCATTGTCCGCGGCCCGGAACGCATGGACACAGAAGTTGTCATCTGACTACGGCCGGGCCCGGTGTTCGTGACCTTGAAGTATGCAAACAGCCATGTTTTGTCTAGGTTGCTGGGGAAGCTGCCCTTCCAGTTTAATGAGTGGATGGAACGGGGCTCTGGGGAAGGTCCCCGACAGACCAAGCGGGCTTGAGATAGTCTATCCAGTAGAGGGCAGCGGCTCCCCAATACAAGCAAACACAAAAACCACTCGCCCACTGGCTGGACCACCGGTGGCCAGGCTGCAGGTAGGCGACCTAGGACCTCTGAGCCAGGTGATGCGCTCGTCACGCAGCCACTGGTCCCCGCCGCCTGTTTCACATCTCCGAGCCTTGGTATTGGCCGTACGGGTGCCCGTAAAGTACTCGCCTGCTCCCCTTAGCCTCAGAGAATCCCAGACTTGGCTCAAGCCTTCCCCTCTGATCCCCCCAGCTCCTGGTGCCCCCTCCACCACCCCATCCTCTCTGATCTTCCCGTATTGCTTCCTGTCGCCCTCCAAACTGGAGGCTCCTTAAGGTCCGGAACTGGTTTCACCTTTGTCTTTAACACCCCCTCCAGTACCGTGCCTGGAACATGAGCACTTAATGATAAATAAATGCCTTTTGAAATGACGTTCTGATTCATTGTTTGAAATATGCTATCACAATTTTTTTTTCCCGATTAGGCTTGTCTCTCTGGGTTCTTGGGTTAGTTCCACTCTCCCAGGTGGCCCCTACAAAACTAGAGCTCTCTCCTAGTCCTAACTTCTGAAAATGATGGCCTCACGAACAAATACAACCCTCCCTGTTGGTCTTTTAAAGTCCTTGGACCTGTCTGTAACCTACCTTTCCAGGCTTATTATACATTACACCCTTTGAGGCTCCCTGGTCCAGCCAAACGTCCTTCTTTCCAGTCCCACATGTCTGGGATGCCCTCCCTCTCCTCTCAGCCTCCTGGAATCTCTTCCATGAAGCCCTCACTAGAAAGTTCCTCTCCTTTTAAATCACCTTCGTCTATTCTTCTATGTGTTGTGTGTACATACACCTGTGTGGGACTATTGTCTCCCTTGATAAAATGCAAATTCCTTGGGGGCCAGGACTATTTCACTTACTAAATACTTGATTGATTGATTGATTGATTGATTGATTGATTGAAGGTACACGTATTTGTGTTTTTCCCCTTGAAGAATGGAAGATTCCTGAGGGCAAGAACTGTTTTTGTCTTTGTATCTCTGGGGGCTAGCATGAAGCCTACCACTCAGCCAGGTTTTATAAGGGCTTGTTGATCAATGGAGTGATTATTACTCTAAAAGACAAACTTCTTTAGGGGTTTAGACTATATAGAAGTTGTCAGGGTTTTTTGTTTTGTTGTTGTTTTAATGTGCAAAAGCTTTAAAAAAAATCTTTCCTAGAGGAAGAAGGGCAAGGCAGGACCAGAGAAATGGTTTGGATTTGGGGCAGATGTTCTCAATCTAATTATCAAGTCAATCCCTTGGGCTTGAACCAAACACAAAAGTGAAATATATCTGACCTATGTAATAGTCTAGAACTACATCTGGTTGGAATTCAGGGTCTTCAATCTGGGGCAATATTTTAGAAATGAACGTGATGAGTATTAAAGACTCACATTATATTTCTGGTGGTATTTATATTATTCACATGTTCTCCAGGATTAGTAGCAGCGAAGAAACATAAGCAATGGCTTTAAACTCCTAACCAGCACGTCTCCTTGCTCTATTTGGACAATTTTTAAATGTTGGTTTTGGTTTTGGGGGGGGGGTTCCTCATAGAGGTTTATTGGGTTGGGCATGAATTATTACTATCCATACCTTAAGGAAAAAAAAAAAGAAAAGAAAAAGCGTTCAATGAGCTATCCTGAAGCACAAGAGGCAAAGAGGAATCAGAAACCCAAACATCTCTTAGTCAAAACCTTAGAAGATCTGAGAGAAGAACTCAGTATAAAGTAAATAAAACTTTTTTTAAAGTTTGTGGACTTCAACAACTTTAGGAAAAAAAAGAGTACTGAATATTAAATGAAAAACAATTTTCCCATTTCCAGATTCTCTTCCAGCGCTCATTAACGTGAATGCATTTATTTTCACTTGGTTGTAATGAGTGTAAGGGTACAGTTGAGTTCTGGCTTTTTGTACTTATTATTTTGTAGGCATTTTCCTGCATCAATGCGGGTCACATATTTGCCTTCTGGAGGGTAGGGGAGAAGCTGTTTGATTGGTATAAGGAAACTTGCTGACCAAAGCAGGTCTCAGGTACTCTGCAATGGAGAGTTTTGCCTGGGCTCTCAGAGGTTAAGTGACTTGGTCAAGACTATGCAGACATTGTGAAACTTGAACCCAGGACTTCTTGACCCAGAGGTCAGTTCTGTATCCACATGATGCCTCTTGGTCACTTTTTAAAGATATCTATTGGTGTCCCAGTTGCACTACTTGTTGGCTCTGGTCAAGTCATTTCCAATTCCCTGCCTCAGGGAATCAGAGGAGATAAGGGATGAAGAATACCATATACACAAGCATTTGTTAAGTGTCCACTATGTGCCATGCACTTCACTAAGTGCTTTGCAGTATTATCTCATTTGATCCTATGAACTGTGACAACTTTTTCTGTCTTGTTGGGGAAGAGGGAGTGGACTCTCTGTTTCTAATAAAAGTGTGTATAAACATGTGTTTAAGGGTTAGATAGATGGCATGGTGTCCAGAGTACTAGATTTGAAATCAGGAAGGCCTGGGTTTGAATCCATCAAATACTCAGCTCTGTGACCCAGGACAAGTCACTAGACCTCCATCAGCCTCAGTTTGCTTATCTGTAAAGTGGGAATAGAAATAATAGAACCTACCTCACAGTTGTTGTAAGGAGTAAATGAAATAACACTTGTAAAGCTCTCTGCATTATATAAATGCTGGCTATTATTGTTATTATTATTATTATATGTGAAAGTAATCATGCCATGTAGCTTTAGGTGTTTAGGTGTCACATAGGACTGATGTGTTACAAAGTGGTGGATTCCTCCTCCTTGGTATTCAAGTTAGATCATCACTTGTTGGTCATCTAACCCTAAATGGGCATTTTTTTTGTCTATGGGTTGGACTGGATGGCCCTGCCTTCCCGTCCAACTCTCCAAATCCAATTCTGTGATCTCCTAGACCAGGGCTGGGGGACCTGCAGCCACAAGGCCACACATGGCCCTCT